GATTTTAACTGAATATGCTCTGATCGGGTTTGTAAAATTTTGTTTAAATTTATGTAAATAATGTTGTTTTATTTAATATAAGTTAATTTTTTTACGATTTTGTACAAGTATATAATTTGAAAAGTCAATGTGATACATCAGACTCGTATCCGGGTTGGGTACGGGTTGGGGGTATTATATTTAATGGTATCAGAGCTAAGTTTTAGCCGATTCTAGGCTTAAATCGAAGTCGAAGGAGTTTTAAAATGTGTATATGCCAACAACAAGAAAGATTTCTGATCTGATAATGTAAAGAGTGTGTTGTCTTGTTTTTAGAATAAGATTGTTATATATTATAGTATATATCTGATCATGAGAATTTTAAAGTGAAACGAAAAGTGATAGACCTGATAGTGGTAGCAATTCACTTGCCCTGGCCATGCAGGATGAAGAGTATACACCTCATGAAGTGCCTTATAAGATCAAATATTGTTTTGAGAAAGTTGAAACCATGTTAGAAAAATGTTAGAGGGTCTTCACTACTTTGAAGTGGAGAAGTTAGATAGAGTAGTTTCGTTACTACGTGGATAAGTTAGAGTATGGTGGACAAATGGCACAATGAGAACGTTAAAAGATTAAGTGACATGATTAGAGTTTGTAGAAGAGTTCAAGAATAAGTACATCGGTGACAAGGTTATAAAACAAATAAATCCAGAGTTTATGAGTTTGAACAGGGGAATAATACTGTGTATGAGTAAGAGTGTGGGTTTGATAAGTTGAGTAAATTGTTGTTGAGTTAATTCCGGATTGGAAAGGAATTATGTGATTGGTTATTAAGGATTATGCCTAAATTAAAAGAATGCTAATGGTTTTGAAACTGTTCTTTTTTCAAGAAGTGGTTAATCATGCTAAAGCTCTAAAGAGAGCTCAGAATAAGAGGTTTGCAGAACAAAAATCTCAGATGATTAAGATAAATGTGCTTCATAGAGTTTAACACCATCAAAGAGAGGCAGAGATTTTAATTTTCAACTTTAGACTAGGTCTGAATTAGCTGTATCCTCTATCAAAAGATCAAATGGGATGAGAATCAGACAAGCTCAATTAATAGAATATGATACCAGAGATTTATAAGGAGCTAATAATGGGTAAGTGATAAGAAGTCAAGTTTAAGGATAAACTTCGAGGAATTGGATTAAAAAGTTCTGATAGACATTATGTAAATTACGATAAAAGAAGTATTTAAATGGATAAAGTGAGTATTTGAATATGGTATTTGATGACTCAAGTGGAGAAAATGCAAGTATAAGTAATGATAAGGAATAAGGTTATGTGAAAAAACTGTTGATTATCAAGGTTATGAAGAAAAAGATATAATCTATGTTGAAAGAAGATTTTGGATTTGTGAAAGAATAAAGAGCTAAGGAAATTAAATGAGAGAGTTTAAAGGATCCAATATGATAAGGGTTACGATGAAGTATATATTATAAGTTTGATTTAGAAGTAAGAAAATTTTTGATTCTAAGTGGGAATGATAAAGAGTTGTTATGAATTTTATATAAGAATTTCTTTGGAAAATAAATTTGGACTTTTATGATGAAATGGATTAGGTTAGCACCCCCTTTAGAAAGTGGATATTCATTGAACACGCATGTGAGGTTATGAAAGAGGTTAAGGTAATAAAAGTTAAGGATCGAAAGAAAATGTCAGTTTAGGCTAATCTAGTATGATATGGATTTAAATATGAGTGTGTATCTTGGCTATGTATAAGTGATGTAGTCAAATACATAAATATTTATTTATATGTATGAAGGAAGCTTAAAATATATTCGAAAGATTATATTTTCTCTGATTAAGTTGTTAAAGATAAGCATTGTTACTTTTAGGATGATAAAAAATATAAGTATGGTAAATTGGATAAAGATGGTATAAGAATAAAGGTTTGGTTGATGTTTCAAAGCAATGAGAGAGTAATGGAATAAGTCAAATGACTCATAATTTTGAGTTGGCAATAATTTGGGTACAGTATTGATTGAACATTATTACTTACATGATGAGTGAGATTACATTTATAAGGATTTCTAAATATTGAAAGTAGGTGTAAAAGAATGTTGGAATATGAAGTTACAGCTCAAGAATAAGATAATTTCATTAGTTACAGTTTTGTAGAGAAATCATAAAGTAGTGAAAGTAACAGGAGAATATGAATAAGATGTATGTGGATAGTTCTCCATTTATTTGTGCAGTGAAAATTCGAGGGTGAATTTTCTTAAATGGGGAGAATTGTAACATCCAAAAAATCGGGTTAGTGACTAAAATGAAAGTTTTTGAAATTTGGGGATCAATTTTGAAAAATTGAAAAGTTTAAGGACTTAATTGGAAAATCTTGATGTTGGATTTAGTAGAAAAGTTTGAAAAATGAGATGGTATAATGGTCTTTTCATAATAAAGATTTTTATCTTTCTTTTTATGGGATATAAAACACGTGGAGATGAAAAGAAATGAAAGAGAATTCCGGAGACTTGGTTGGCTTTCTTCTTTTTCTCTTCCCGTGGCTCCATTGGTAAGTTAAGATGGTCTCAAGTGAATGTTTGCTTTCATTTTTAAGTTGGTTTTAATTATTGAGATGATAAAAAAGCTTAAAAAAGCTTAAAACTCAAAGATGAATAAGTTATGAAAGATTGAAGGTAAAGAGATTTTAAGGGAATTATTGAGAAATAATAAGTAAATAAGTTTTGATGTGAAATTTGACTTTTCATAAGCTGGAATAAGAAATTTAAAGTGTTAGAAATGAATTTGGATCATGTTGATAAATTAGTATGATTATTGAATTTAAGTATACTAGATATATTTTGGATGTTGGGATGTGTTAAAATGAGATAAGTTGATTTGAATAAGTATAGTTGAGTTTAAAGGCTTGAAAGAAGAGTAATAAGAACAATTTAACTAAGTATAGTGGATTTTCAGGTTAAAATAAGTAAGTTATAGGCATGAGGTATCGATACTGTTCATCCAGTACCGATACTTCAAAGCCAAATAAGTAGAATTTGAGCTTGGGGTATCGATACTGAATGAACAATATCGATACCATAAAGAAAAATTGGATGAAATCTTTTTGAAGTATCGATACCTAAAGAGTGGTATCGGTAATGGTTGAAGGGGTATCAATACCAAGTGTTTAGTATCGACACCAATATCAAGTTATATTTACAGAATGTCAAAATGATATCGGTACCTAGGAGGGGTATCTATACTATAAGAGGGTAGTATCGATACTATAGTAAGAGTACCGACACTATTAAGTTTGAAATGCTAAATTAAGTGGTTATTTCAGCCCTAAGTTATATGGATTAATTATAAGTGATTTGAATTTCGATATTCATATTGACTATATGAATTATGTAGATATTGAACTAAAGCAAGTATCGGATGAGTCAAGTATCGGATGAGTCAACGAGATACGGTCGATCAAGAAGATATAAGTTTATTGCTTGGACTAGTGAGACTAAGGTGACTACATACTAGGATGAAATATGATTTTATGGAAATTAAACTTGTGATTAGTCTATCTTTGATATTTTAAATATATGATAGTATGAATAGAATAATGATTATGATTGTACTGTGTGAATATGTCTTGTATGCATTATATGTTATGTGATCTATGAGAAATGACATGAGATATATAAGTAAAGATATATGTGATATGGTCTAGGTAAGTATATGAAAATGTGATATAAACAATATGAACATGAGCTAGGCAAGTACCTAATTGTGTGATAATCTATGTGAACTAGTATAATGGAATTATATGATTAAATAAAAAGTGAGATAAGATAAGTAGTATTGATCTATAGGATAATACGAGAATAGTATATAAATTAGGTGACATGAACATAATTGATGATGCGAACCTATAAGATAAGCTATATGGGGAAGATTTATATGTATAAATGAAACTATGATATAGGAGTTATAGAGTGAACAACTATGAAGCCCTATGAAAAGTTTATAGAAATCATGTGAAACTAAACTAAGTAAATAGATTAAATTAGTATATAATGATGTGATATATGTTATTGTATAGGTTACATGATCTATATGAATTCATGGTAGTATGATAAACCATGTGAACTGGTATAAAGGATCTATGTGATTATATAAGAATATTATATAAGTTATATGATATGGATAAAAAGGATTATATGAACCTGCGATATGTGATTAAATATGCTACCTGATATATGTGAACATAAGAAAACAAGGTATAAGATATATGATATGATATAAGTGATGTCATGAGAAATGATATGAGCTCTATGAGTATATGTATATATGTTGATTTGATTGAATATGTGAATCTGTAATAACAAGAGAAAGATATATAAGTTACGAGACTATACAAAAACGTTACATGGTCTATGTGACAAGAAGTTATGAGATTATATGCTTATGTGATATGAGTTATAAGAATTGTGATAAATGTTATGTGATATGAGAGCTAGAGGTATAGTTGGCATGCCAAGAGTGGAGAGTTATATGTGGTCCTTCGGGACATATATGTTATATGTGGTCCTTCGGGACAATTTTATATTCTCCTAGTGGGACCTTATACGAGTTGTGGTGACAGCATATGTGCACAACCTCAATTTACTCATATGTCTTTAGTTCTCGCAAGTGTACATGGGATATAAAAGATATAACATAAATACACTATAGGTGATGTTATGTGTGTTTCTTTGTGAAAGGTGTTATATGAGGCCTAAATGTTAAGTACAAGATTATATGATAAAAAGGGATTAATGACAATGACAAAAATGTTACGGATGATTTATGTACATGTATACATGAGGTTATATGTAATATTTATAGTTGTATATGGTATGATTATATAATATGTTATATGGTTTTGTATGATATTATTTTATGAAATATACATGCATTATTAAATAGTTAAACTTTTTAGTATTCATTTATATGCCTCACTAAGTCTGTGACTTAGCGTTTGAGTATTTCACACGTAGGTTTAGAGAAGCAAGAGATATAAGGTTAAAAACCTCAGGCCAGCTCCTCCTTTTTGAAGATCAGATCAGAGTAAAGAACTTAAATAGTATATATTTGATTTTCATGAATGTAGTTGGCATGTAATTTAAGATTTTAATCGAATATGCTTTGATTGGGTTTGTAAACTTTTGTTTAAATTTATGTAAATAATGTTGTTTTATTTAATATAAGTTGAAATTTTTACGATTTTGTACAAGTATATGATTTGAAAAGTCAATGTGACACCTCATACTCGTATCCGGGTCGAGTACGGGTTGGGGGTGTTACAGTCATTGTTAAAGATTGAAGACTTTATTCCTTAAAGTCACATGATTATCACATATTGATGCAAGATTTACTGCCAGTAGCTTTACGCGGTTGTATGGTGAGTAAGATGACGTCCTGTATCATTGAACTTTATAATATAATAAAATCTATGTGTGAGAAAGTTCTTATGGTTGAAGAACTTGAGAAACTACAAGATCGAGCCGCCTTAACTTTACACAACTTGAAGAAGATATTTCCACCTTCATTCTTCACAATTATGGTGCACCTACTAATTCATCTTTCTCACGTGGACCAGTTTTCTATCGATGGATGTATCATATAGAGAAGTGTTAATTGACTTATATGTATTAAATGACTAGAAATTATACCTTTTCATCATAACTATTTACATACTATTTTCTTTTGTGTCTAGGTTTTTGTGCAAGTTAAAGTCTTATTGTCGTAATAAGCGTTTTCTAGAAGGATCAATTGTTGAAGGGTATTTAGTAGAGGAATGTATGACTTTTTGCTCTAGACATTTGGAAGATGTTGAAATAAGATTGAATAAACCAAATAGAAATGATGTGTTCAATACTAATGGATTAGATGAGACTTATTTGTTTGGAAGTTATGGTTAACCACTCGGCAAAGTTGAAATTGCACATTTAGATTATAAGTCTTGGGTATAAGCACACCGATATGTTCTTTTCCATCACGATTCAATAGATACCTTTCGCACGTAAGTTTTACAAACTAAATCCTAATGTATTTACTTAATCTTTTATATTTCTCATTCTTTAACGACATAATATACTTTATAGTGAGTTTAAAGAAGTCTTGAGATCTCCTGCATGATCCCGAAGATTACATTAGCAAGAGATACATAATTTATTCACAAAAAGTTTTCATGAATGCTAAGGGCAGACAGTAAGCAACTAAATCATTGCACATAGTTATAAATAATATATAACTCTTGTTTTAATATATCAACATAAATTCTAATTAATTCACGTTTCATGTCTAATAGGTTTGGAATGGAAGATAAGTTAATGAAGATGTTAAATAGCTTTCTCAAGGTTCGAATAGAATTGTTAAAAGATATCGCGCCTTCCTCATTTATGGGTTCAGGTTCCACACGAAATCTCATGAAAGATTAAAGAGGACAAAAAATTGTGGAGTAGTTGTTACTTCTTCAACTTCAAGTTATGCTAATGTCAGGGACAATAATCCTTTGGAGGGAGATGTAGAATATTATGGAATTCTTACAGATATTATTGAGTTAGATTATTATGGAAAACGAAAGTTTGTGTTGTTTCGCTGTGACTGGGTTGATGTAAACACTACTCGAGGCATAAAAAGAGATAAATTTGGTTTTACAATGGTGAATTTCTCTCGATTAATTCACACTGGTCAACAATTGATGGATGAACCATATGTATTTTCTTCTTAAGTTAAACAGGGTTTTTACTGTTGTAATCTAATGGACGAGGGTTGGTATGTTGTGCTCCGTAATATCCCCAGAGACTTGATAGACATCAGGGATGGAAGTAGAGATGACATTAAAACAAGATCAGGAGCTTTACCTTTTGTAGTACAAAACTTAGATGAAACTATCACTAATACTATACAATTTCAATGGGTTCGGGAAGACATGGATGAAGATATTTATGAGAATTGATATGACATAACAATGTAGTAAGATTTTATATCTTAATTTAATAATTTATAATATTATAACTTATAACATGTTGTCCTTCAATATATTCAATAATAGTAATATTTTCACTAAAATTGTTGTTTGTTTATTACATATGTAACACCCCCAACCCATATCCGACCCGGATATGAGTCCGAAGTGTCACATTGACTTTTCAAACATTTATTCGTATAAAATAGTGAGTAATTTAAAAACTTTGATAACATTTAACTTATTCAAAACGTTTACAAAATATATCAGAGTTCATACAATTTATGTCTTTAGACTACATGCCAACTACACTCTATATACAGTACCTATATTTTCTGATCTGACATTTGGTAAGGAAAACTGACCTGTCTTGCTCCACATTACTCTTTACTCTTCTCGAAACCTACGTGTGAAACAATCACACGCTAAGTCGAAGACTTAGTGAGGCATAACAACTTATAATGCACTTTATAACATATATCGATACATGAATGTTCTGTTCTATCATGTTATTGCAATTCCATGCATTTTTCATATCGTATAAAATCATATCAGATTAATTACAGTAAATACATACATACACATAATTCATCATTAACAGTTTATCATGTAATCACATACTTTTTCAATCAAACACTATACATACACAACATCATATCATTTCTATAGCATTTATCATACCACTAACATATATTTGTTCATATCTCTGGATTAGCCCCTGTACATATGTGAGAACTATCGATATGTGAGTCTATAGAGATTGTGTACTAATACTGTCACCATAGCTCGTATAATTGCACCGAAGTGCCGCGTAGAATTGCACCGTAGTGCCATATAATGATGTCCATAAGGACCACATAGAATTCCTTAAGAATCATATACATATGCTAGGGATCAAGTATGTGTCTCTCAAGACTTCATACATGTTCCACAGAATATATATATATCCCGAAGGACCGCGTAGAATTGCACCGTAGTGCCATATAATAATGTCCATAAGGACCACATAGAATTCCTTAAGAATCATATACATATGCTAGGGATCATATATGTGTCTTTCAAGACTTCACACATGTTCCAAAGAATATACATATGTCCCGAAGGACCGCGTAGACCCTCGACTCTTGGCATGCCAACTATACCCCTAGCTCTCATGACACATAACATGGGCGTTATCATTTATTTCATTTCAAATATTCACATAAACTTGTAATTCACTTTCCCATATCACGTATCACATAGCTTCTTTTCATATTATCACATAGTCACGTAGTTCACTTACACGTAGATCATTTCCATATAATTCACATGTCACATATATCATGTTTTCATATAATTTCTATCATTTCTCACCCAATCACCTTTATTCATGTAAACATACTTATCATATCTTGTTCACATAAGATCATATACTTCATATAATATATAGAAACACCTAGAACACTTTCACGTAGCTTATAGTCATAGGTCTTATCTCATAACATATACTTGTTTTCACATATATATTTCATATCATTTCTTATACCATCACATAATTCATTTAACATACATAACATATTATGTAACATTATAATAGAAATACCTATAAGTCATATCACTTAGAGCACATATATACTTATAGTCACATTGCTTATATCTTAATCTTATGCCTTCTCTTAGACATATATATTCACATGTTCAGGTAATCCACCATTTCATCACATAATTATGTATTCATATAACTCATTTCATTTCATTTCATTTCATATCTATCTATATATATATATATATATCCTCAAGATTTATCCTAATATAAATCATATAGCACTCTTATAATTCATATTCATATTCATCTAGGGCAGACTTATAAACATATCTCACTTCTATTATTTCTTTATATATATATAATCTAATCTGTTTACTTAATTCAATTTCATATAACTCCTATAATCTTCTCATATAACTTCATAAATTTCTATCATACAACTCATGTGTTATAGTTTTATTTAAACATATGAATCTTTCCCATCTAGCTTATCTTATATGTTCATCTTATCATTTATGTTCAAATCTCCTAGTTAGAGTACTATTTTCAATTCATCCTATAGATCAATATTATCCAGCTTATTTCACTTATCATATAATAATAATTATATTTTACTATGATCACATAGTTTATATCTCATATAATTCATAACCTTTCTTATGTAATTACTTATACTTTATCATCTAACACATAAAAGAACAGATCAATCCATATAATCAAGCATACATACATGCATATTCCACTCATGCCTTTAATCATGAATTCATGTGTAACACTTTAGGAAATAGACTCATCGCAAGTCTTATTCCCATCGCACATCGTATACTATTGAATATGCACTCACCTTGCCTCACTAGTCAATTCCAATCTCTTATCTTTCCCCTTGATCGATCTTACTTGCCAAACGTTCCGGAATTGCTTTATGCGTAGAATCTACATAAATGTACATTTTGAGGCAATCATTAGATACCTACACCTTGTAATTGGATACTAGCAACTTAAACGAACTTATTAAACCCATATTCACAATTTCCTTTAGGGGGAATCGGTTCCCTACTATGGGGGTATCGATTCCCTAATGACATTATGGAAATGTTGTTCGTTTGAAGGGGTATCGGTTCCCCTTGAATGGGTACCGATTCCCCTTGCCCAGAAATCATATTTTCATCCCGAAAATTACTTCATTTTCTCTCAAACACTTCATATATCATCCCCTTTTCATTCTTAACTCTAGTACACATACTTAAACCAATCTATATTCATTTATTTCATCTTAAACCTCAAAATCCTATCTTCCATATGAGATTCAAAAATCATATCAAATTTTCAATGTGTTCTAATTTCAATTCTAACACTTCATACTTCTTAATTGGATTGATGACAAGTCAAATTCATCCATAAAACTTCAACAACCATACCATATCAAAATTTCATCTTAAAACTCATATTGCAAATTCCTTCATAATTCCTTTTATCTTATTGTTTAAATCCCATATAAGCTTTCCTTAAGCTTATTTAATACCCAAAGAATCAAAACTAAGCTTAAAACTTAAGAATTAACCAACTGAAATTAAACTTACCTTTGCCTTGCTCTCCCACGTATGAAGAAGAAGAAAGGAGCAGAGAACTCTGGATGCTTCTCAAATTTCCCACGTTTATATTACCTTAAAAAATTATAAAAATCTTTCTGGTCAAATGACCATAATACCCTTAATTTCCTTTAAT